CTCTCTCTCTCTCTCTTCTCTCTCTTCTCTCGCAGGAGGATCCGGGCAAAGAGCCACATATAAAGGACTCTTCACCCCTGCCTCCAAAAAGAGCGCCGTGTTTTTTCCTACCTCGCTGCCCTCCACTTTCCCATTCTGGAGCGCTAGCTTTCGCCCCCCCCCCTTGGCCTCAAGTTGGGACCATCTCAAAAACAGCAGCGGTACTGAGATGTTTATGTTTTTATCTCCAGAACTACTACCCCACATGACGACCAGGGCGGGCGTCTCGAAGTCTGATTCGGCCACTGACCAAAAGGGGTTTCAAAATGACTACGCCACCTTCGACGAATCAAGCGGCTTTATGTATATATGGGGCGCGTGAAGTCTAAGTGCGACTCAGGATACCGGTCTGACCAAAAGGGGTGTTCCGAAAACACGAGCGGTATATTGCTGACTGGTGCTTAGTAAGGAATGAGGGAATGGATCCAATGGAATCTCTATTGAGGGCTCATTCCCTTATTCCCTACTAAGCACCAGTCAGATTAAGATTCACCGGTTAGTGTTTTGGCTCAAGAACTACCCTTTAGGATCTTAAGGGATAGTTTCTTAATCATAGGTGGAAAGAATGGGTTGAACGATGGGCCTGGCCTGCCACTGTGCATTTGCTTACTTCCTGGCCGCCACTGGAGTGTTTACACTACTGGACTGTTGGACAATTGGGTATGTATTGGGAGTGAACTCCCGTTTTCACATGTCCATATCCCTGGCCTAGTGGCATTGGCTTGGTGTATCCACAGCATGAACTGTTGCTTCGCTTTGCGCTGTGACGGCCGGAGGGGGGATTCATATGGATTAATGAGGTGAACTCAGATTGAATGACGCTTCAAGGGTTTGTTTGCTTGCTCCGCCAAACTTTTGCAGGAAAGGGTTATATAGTTGGTTGTTCTTGTACTGTTGGCATTGCTGTTATTGATGTGGTTGCAATGGTCAATAATTGGGGGGTAATGCATATCCAGTTCAACCTTGGCTATTCGGCTATTCTGTTGAGACAAACCGCATCAAACCGCTGGAGATTGTGACTCATTTGTTGGGTTTGCACCTGCAAGGCACCTGCGTTGAGCAGCAGCCTCTTGTACCATGTGCATGTGCCTGGGCGCGGGAAGTTTGGGCAAAGCGGCCAGCGGTGGTTAGAACAAAAGGTTCAATTGGTAATTAGGTCTATGCCTATAAAGGTGATGTGACATCGACCGTGCGCAGAGATAGTGCTAATTATGGTTAAGCGTGGATGTTCCTCAAACCATCAACAAATCCAGCACCAGGACCCTCCGACAGGCTTGTTTGGACCCTATAACAGGTGGTATCTGGAACTGCTTTGGCGCCGGCGCCCAGAAAGGTTTGTTGGAGGGTCCTGATGAGACTTGTTTGGTTCACAGACATGATTGGTGAACCGCTTTCGGGCTCCATGTGGCCTCAACGGTCAGAAGTGGTTCTCGGTGGTCGGTTCAGGTGGCCAGACCCGGCTGACCACCACACTCGTGCTTCATCATGTTCGCCGTTCCCGGCAGCTACTCAACGGGGCAAATGTGAATGGAACCCGAAGCTTCTAAGTCGCCAACTGACAGTCAGAGCCCCAACATCCCGAATCGATGAATGTATTAATGAGTAATGATTTGTGCTAGTTCTTTGAAGCTCAGTGTTCCTTTCATCTCGATACCAAACGACATCCCGGGCTTGCCCCCGTTGGGCCGTGGCGGATGAGGTCCCAGGGCTTCGGCTTTCGGATGACGAACTCGGTCTCTCAACCGCTGGGGCGGTGAACCGCCAGCGCCTTGCCTAGGCGGGAAACATGGTCCACGTGCAAGGCCCAGAGGGGTCGGAGTGGGAAGTGTGATGGGATCATAGGACCTCATCCGGTGTGAACGACCTGCCATCGGTGTGAAGAAAGAAATTGGTCAATGGCCCGGAACATATGTGGAAGTTCCGGGGTGATGAAGTGTTTCGATGTGTTTCGCCGATTTTAGTGGGTTTGTCACTTCTGCAGATGGAGTTGGACTTTCCGCAGATGGAGATGGACTTATATAGATTGAGATGGACTTTGCTCCAAAGCCTTGGTGGGTCCAACTAGCTTTGGAGAAGGCAGGTGGGTCCCTCTTTTGGGGTTGCACACGTGATGATAAGGAGCCATTGTTCAGTCCCGGCCTTTTGTATAAGAGTAGCGTTAGGCTGCACTCAAGCATTCTTGCAGGAACATATTATACAGTAATTCATATGTAGAAACAAACATATAACACATGTTTTTGAATTTTGACATGTAGACATACCTGGACCTTCAAGGCTTCCATTGGTGATCCCTTTGAAGGTGCTGGTTTCTGTATATCATATATGCTGTAGTATGCATGAGTATATCGCCTGCATCGTCGCCTGCATCGTTGTTCCGCCTCGGGAGGCCAAGCGACAGTCTTGGTGGATGGGCTCCGGCGGGTCCCCATTCGACCCAGGTCCGGTGGGTCGGCGTTTTTCGGAATGGATGCAAGTAGGCCGTCAGAAGGATCAATGAAGAAAGAGGATCCGAAAAAGCTTTGCCAATTCTTGGTTGATGTTCTGCAGATCTTGGCCATCCATGACCATCCCAAATTTGGTCATGGGGAGAAGGCTGATGATTGTCCCACGTCCGCGGTGGACGAAAGCCATGAGCCAGGCCAATTGGGTCAACTCGTTCGATGTTCACCCACCAAGCCTCAGGGGTTGGGTCAACGCGGACTTGTTGGAAGCCGTGGCCGGCCCTGAACTTGGAAGCCGTGGCGGGTGATGGGAGATGGGCCGGGTTCGGACGCATGGGTTGGAGAAGAGTGACGCGATGACGTGTCCGAGACAAAGTGGAAACCCTCCAGTTCCCGCTGCAGCAATGAACTATTAATAAGAAATCCCAAGAGGACCTGGCTGCCATAATGAGAGAAGGAACCGGGCCCCAGGTGTGATCCACGTCAATGGTCCGGAGTTTCGAGGAATCACGTTGGAGCCTATAGAGATCTCTATAGAGACTTTTAGGAGAGATCTCCAACAGCGGTCGCAGCTGCGCATCTAACCCAAGATCCCCACAACTGGTAGAGACATTAGAAAGATGGGGTGGAGGCCTGCTCCCCGCCGGAGATGGAAGCCTGCAGGTGTTGCCACTACAAGGAGGCTAACGAACATATAGACATGATGTCGGACAAAAAATGATGCCTTTTTCAAGCCTGCGAACTCTCCACTTATGAACAGGAGGTGAACTCCCCTTCCGTGAGTCAAGGAGTGCAACTCCAGGTCCACCGGTCGGCCCACCAGGTGAACTCCCGATTCGGATCGGACCACGCGCGGACCGACCGAGGGCCACCGGGCTTGGAGTCTCAACGAGGCGTGGGACCGAGGGGTGAGCCCGGTGAAACCCGGAGAACCACTGAGGAGCGTCCTCGGGCTGTTCAGAGGTGGGACCTTTTCTGACTGGTGCGACTCGCAGGGAATGAGGGAATGGATCCACTAGAATCTCTATTGGGGGCTCATTCCCTTATTCCATCTTATTCCATCTTATTCCCTACTAAGCACCAGTCAGTTTTGTGTACAGCGCAGCGTTTTCGTCGGACACATGGCGGACTCTACGGTTACTTCAGTGTAGAAGAGGACTGCTGAAAAAACTGTTTTCCCTTTTGGAAACTCTCGAATGACCCTGAACCCCTGTAATATGCTAGTATATGCTAGTTATTATATGTTATTATGCTATAAATTAAATATCAGCATATAGTAATATCACCATATATCACACATAAAAAGTACCCATATAATTATGCAAGTGCTCCCTATGTTCCAGACACTCCATGGGAATGGAATATATTTTTGTTTTTACCACATTTCAACCGCCCCACCTCGGCCTGCCGATGGTCCCATGGGTTGCGGCTGTCACGGTTTCCGTCAGACGATTAGAGCACAGATTCCGTCAGATGTTTGCGGCATAAGACTGAAACAGTTGAAGGTGACTAGCAACATCCAGTTAAACAAGAGGCACGCCTATTGAGAACTAAAAGCGTTTTTTCTTGGGACGAGGGGAAAACTGAATCGGCTACTCAGCAGCAAAATAATGAACATTGACAAGGACTTTGATCGTTGAAGTGCTCCTACTGGGACTGAGCAATATTTGCAAAAAAGACAGCCCGAACCAATGACATATATATATATATATATTCTAGTTTAATCTAGTATATATCGTGCGAATGGAAGTGCAGCGACACGTACAGTGCAACTTGTACATATATATGTACCATATGTACTTTGGCTCAAGGATCAAGCGACTAGAAAAGGTGCGGTTTCCGTTCCGACGCTACGCCGCTTCTGGACCGTCAGTGATAGCTTCAAACTTCGCTGATTAAGATCCACTCGCAGGTTATCAGCCGTACGCGCTCTTTATAGCCGTACGAGCTACACGAGACCAAGAACAAGACTAGTCATTACAGAAACCTGCAATGTCAAGCTCAGGAGGAAATGGAAGCGAACCCTATTCATTCGCTGCTCCTGGTGGTCCCAACACCATTTCGTCACCAGACTCTACAATGGGTACTGATTCATCAGCAAATGCTGACGTTATCACTATGCCTACTGGATCACAAATCTCGGAAAGATCCGTGCCACCGGCTCGGAATCTGACCGATCTTGCACCCGTGGGACCAAGAAGATCGATGAGAGCTACAACAAGATCTACATCGCCTATAACGTCTACCGCGAGATCCCCAAGAAGGAGTATAGAGAAGAGACGTGACGATGATAGAGGAACAAAAGAGCAAAGAAGAGAGATTCAGCTGGGTGAAGAATTGAGATCGGCGAGAAACGCATACAATTTTCTTCATGAAGAATATGAATGCATCCAAGCCGGATACTCACGACTACACCACGAGGCTGAAGTGGAGTTCAGGCAAATGTCTGACTACAACAGGAAGATGCAGGAACATCTACAAGAGATGACACAGGAAGATGAAGGAGCGACAATAAGAATTGAAGAGCTCGAACACAAGCTACGCTTGGCGGAATCGACAGCTGAACATATCTACATGAGATATCAAGAGCTTGCACAAGAAACTCATCAAGAACATTCAGAGCTTGAATCTGTGAAAGCAACGAAGGACAGAATGTCCCAAGAGCTTCAAGCAGCAATTGGACACATCCAAGAACAGAATGAATCTTCATTGGCGATCAATAGAAGATCAAAAGCCATTCAGGATGAAAACACAGCCTTCGTCGGAATAGCTGACCAGATACAAGCTAGAATGATTGCGCTACAGGATGAGAATGTCAACATGCACGAGGTGATCCAACACCAGAGAGAAGAACAATGGAACAGTGAGGTCAGGGAAAGACGTCTTCAACACAGTGTTCACTCATCTCAAGATCAGAGCAATCAGGAAGCTATGGTTATTGATCATCTACGAGGTCAACTAGCTATGGCACGTGGAGCTGAACTCAACGCGAGAGCGGAGATAGAAGAGATGGAAGTGGGCATGAGGATGGAGATATTTGTATGCCAGACTGAAGTCTCTGCTAAAGAAATGGCAGAAATGAAGGCGAGCCACCATGAATACGAAGCAAACGTCGCAAAGGAGGTTATCGCAAAAGGAGAAATATTCAACAACGAAGTCCTAGAAGGTTCCATCCGTGAACGACAACAGTTAAAAGACGCCAACCTCGCTCTATCCGAAGCCAACGCACAGCTGAAAAGAGAGAATATGATGAGAGCTCCTATGTTCGGCGATGATGGTGCTGAAATTCAACAGAAGATCAGAGAACTGGAGAATGCACTATTGGAAAGCCAGAAGGAGACAAAGAATGTCATTATGGAAAATGCGAAATTAAAAGCAGAAGCACGAATGGCACCCATAGTCTCTCGGTACAGCAAGCGTCCTAGTTCCAGAGACCGCGGGTTACCAACCCACGCGTCCGAGGAAGATGAGATTCGGAACGCAAAAGAGGAGGCGAAGCACTACAAGGACGGGTACAATGAAATGACAGAGAGCCGAGATGAGATGTATGAATGGTATGCCGAAACCCACAATGAGTACGCCGAGGAAAGGGAGAAATCAATTGAGCTATCCGAGGCGAACAAATCATTGAGGGACAAGATTTCAGAAGCAGAAGCATCCTCTTCATCTCATCTTACACCGGCAACCTCTACAATCATGAAAGTATCGAGGAAGGAAGAATCAAAGATAAACGTTCCGTCATGGCCCAGGATCAATGATCTTGGACTATGGAAGGCAAATCTCATTCAATCGATCATCATTGCGGCCAATGATTCAGATCAAGAGCCCTGGATCGACTGGATCAAAGAAGCCATGGACGATCCTGATCCGGACAAGTTTGTCGACTCAGGAGACCAAAGATTCCATTCAATCGATGCCAAACTCGGCCTAGCTCTTACCAAGGTCGTCATGGATGCGAAAGATGATGGTTCAGGTGTAGCTATGAAGTTGAGGACGAGGATCAATGCAAAAGGGAGAACATCAAGCCTCATAAAGGGAAGAGAGGTCCTAGCCCTGATCCTTATGAATTTCAAGACAACATCAAATGTGGAAGTCTTATATACTTCAATGCACCTCTACCAACTAGAATATCAAGGAGACAAGAACTTATCGTTGTTCTTCCACACTTGGGATGAGATTCTGGCAGGAATGAAGCCCGTTGACGTCCCGAGCGACGAAACTCTTCGGGATCTCCTATGGAGAAAGATCAGGAACTCAAACCTCATGGCATACGACATCAGCGCCTACAACAGCATGAACGACGATGATGCCAAGAAGACATACAAACATCTACGTGATATGATCAGAAGGCACATCGAACGGCAAACTGAAGACAGGACGATCCTGGAAAAGGAGAAGGCAGTGAAGAATGTGGCCAATATCTTTCAGAATCTCAAACCAGGCGGACCTGCTCCAAAACTGAAAGCTGCACCAGCTGATCCGAAGAAGAAACCAAAAGGGCAACAAGAACAGGTTGTCTCAGAAGACGCTGCTGCAGTGAAGCCGAAACCCAATCCCAAGAAGCATCCTGAAGACAAGAACAAAAAGGGAAAGGGGAAAGGTAAAGGTGATGGAAAGGATCGCAGCCGAAGTCCGAGTACAGACAAGAAGAAGATACCATGCAAATACTTCGTGAAAGGTAACTGCACTATGGGGAAAGATTGCCCATTCAGTCACAAGAAACCCAGATCACCATCCAGAGGATCTTCTGTCGGAAAGAATGACAAGCCAGTATGTTGGATGTGGATTCGAGGAACTTGTGACAAAGGGAAGGATTGCAAGTTCTACCATGACCCAAAAGCCTCTCCTAAGAGAGGGATATCTGCACCAGCTGACTCAGGAGACGATAGGCCAAAGCCCAAGGCAAAACCCAAACCGAAGCCTAAGGAGAAGCCTGGAGCCCCAGCCATTGACGGTGAACTCTTCATGGACGAATCCGAAGATGAAGGGATTGCTGCATCCGCCAAGGCAAGAGAAGGAGGTGCAAAAGTGTCCTTTGATGAAGAGACTTGTGAGATCATGTTGAACGAAGCGATCTACTCAGTCAGGGACAAATGGAAGGTAGTAGAAAAGAAACCTCTACGTCCGGACATTAAACGATACGATGAGAAAGAGCTCACCTGCTACACGAGGAAAGAACAAATCAGATTTGAAGAAAAGGTCGCAGAGGCAAGAGGCATATTGATGGTCCCCTACACTGAGATCAAGAGGGTCCGAATACCAGTTGGACCAAAGGGTGACCTAGCGGTCACTATGTCTTTTGACGAAG